CTAAATAGTTAATTTTTTTTTAATATTTGTGACTATGAATTGACAATTTTCAGCTTCTTTTTTTTAATTGTAAATCTTCTAAATCGCAATTTTTGAAATAGTCCATGGTCTCAGTAACGGATGACAATTTTATTGACAATTTAGCTTCGAGTCATAAACAATTTTTTTTTAAGTTTAATTATGGTGCTTTTTGTTGGGTAACCTTTCTTGGAACTTTTAATATACTCGCTTACAAGTTACAACGGTTAATTTTTTTCATTGTAAAGAATGCAGGTAGCTGTGTAGGGTCAAACGTAGGGTTTGAGCATTTGTCGGATCCTTCCTTTTCAAAATAATGTTCCATGTCGGTTTCGTTTAGTTTATTGTCTAGTAAGCATATTTAACGGTTATTGTAAAATAAAATACCATAGCTAGTGTTAATAGTAAAATATTACTACGGTAACGAATTTATAGTAACGATATAATTCTCCGAAAAGGGACAGACAGCGTGTTAAATAAGTTCTTTGCATTAAAACGACTTAAAGGATTAGTCGAAAGAAGGAAGAAATTCACAATAAGTACACATAAATATAAAAAGATAAGAATTTGAACTTGGCCTCCATTTTTGGTAATGATAATTCTGCGTACAATAAAGAAGGCCGGACTTACCAACAACCGTGAAATCATAAAAACTGACACAGTTTTTTATAAAATAATTACACACAAAACAATATATACATTATATACTGTACATATTGAATATTAAAATTTAGTCATGAGCTGCATTAAGCTTGGAAATCAATAAAAAAAATGTTAGCTACGTATGATCGATGACATAAACTTGTATATTATCATATCATATCGCGTTATTGTTGGCATATGATTAGATTGCACTTCCTGATACTCCTGATAGCCTAGTACTAGCACTAGGTAACCTAGTACATACTGCAGTTTAACTTGCACGTGCATCGCCCGTATTGGGAACATATCAATCAATCATATTGATTTGTATTGATATTGATTCTGTGCTTAATATGGAAGGCATTGTCCTTCCCACTTAGTTATTAGTAGATAGGAAGCTTAGCGTTGATATTTTTATTTTTTTAAGAGAGCTAAGTTACATATTTGCAGGTATAGAGTACTAGCATTTGTCGGCGACTCCGTTCGCGTGGAATAGTGACTTCCTGCAGATTTTTGGTATAAAATGTGCTTTCTATCCTATGTCCTATGTCCTTTCTCGAGTTCCAAACTATATCTGTACCGAATATCATAGGAATCGGTTCAGTAGTTTAGGCGTGAAGAAAAGACAGACAGACAGAGTTACTTTCGCATTTATAATTGTAGTTTGGATTAATAATATTTTGTTGCGCTATAGTAGGTATGCCTTTTTGGAGGGGGAAAATTAGCAGGTTACTTGTTCCGCCCTCAGTGGGACGAGATTGTCAGACTTACTGACTAAAAACCATCCCGTTCCTTCTCCTAATACAAGCCGAAACTGCTTAACATTATTGCGCTTGCCTCCGCAGACATTTTAAGAAGGAATATCCATATTTTACACATTCAGGTGTAGTTTATTAAGCTGTTATAAATAGCCAGATATGTGATTTTGTAGTTTTTTTTCACACTGATCCAAACTTTATTGTTTTGACTTATATACTCTTGTGATTTCATTTAATCCTTTTTATTTTTATTGAAACCTGTTAGATAAATATGAAGAGAAGCACACCGCGTAATAAAATGGAGCACCTTACGATTAAAAGTTTTGTTTTCAATGATAGTTGGTTTATGCATAAAAGTGATTTAACTCTTTGACCGCCATGGTCGTCCATAGCCGATAAATCAATTATAGGAACTTATTAAAAAAAAGGGGCAACGTTTTTTATTAAAAAAAAAGAAAAGAAAGAAAAAGAATTATGACGTTTTCTTGTCGGTTATGCTCGACATTGGCGAGGTAGCATATTATTTTTCGTTTGTCGTCTATAGCGACAATGGCGGCCAATAGGTTAAATTGAAGTGTGGTATGTACCAAAGTTCCTTCTTTAAGCCACAACTTAGTTTACCGATTGTGTGCGCTTGATCTCATGTTCCAAAGTCTACTGAGCTGGGTGGTCTACGACCATATTGGGTGTAACGTGATCAAATACCATCTATTTTTTACACGGCTGCCCAAAACAAGGAGTATTATGTTTTAAGTGTTCATGTGTGTGATATTTACACTAAAATGCATAATAAAACAATGTTTTTTTCTATTTGTAGATTTTAGAAAAAAAATATGTATCTTTTTTTCTAATAAATATAATATGTTATTTTTCCAGTTTCCTAAATATGTCTGTTTCAATGAATCAACAGTAATGTCATAAGTGGGTGGATGCCCACTTGAAGCTAAGTCTGTGTATAGATCCTCTGTGGGTGTCACTTGAACTTTCGATTACGATATCGTTCAAAAACTGCAACTATAATTTTAGTACTTTCTCTTTGCAACGGAAGATAGGCGATTGTATTAGGAGCGAGCCTTATGTCCATACATCGAACAAAACTTCAGTTTCTATCACTTATTGAGGGCTATTCGAAAAACAAAAAGAACCGTCAGTTTCAGTCTTTTCAGTCAGTTCAGTTACAATACGACAGAAAAAGGAAAAGGCACTTCTATAGTTGAACTCTTCTAAGTAATGTGATGATTTCACGCAAAAGTATAAACATTATTTATTTTAGAATTTGTGACTAATGTTTTACGAATATAAACTATTCAGTCTGGATTATTAACCTTCTTGGTTATGCATGCATTCTGTAAATACTATTAGTTATATTTATGTGCCTATGTGTACATAACAATATTATATACGGTTTCTGCTTCATGGGGAAAATCGGATCGGTTGTTGTTTTCCTAACATGAAATGGTTTAATAAATGTAACATACACATTTTAAACGTTACTTTAGTAATCATGACATCTTCCCATAAAAACAGGCGCATATAGGGCAACACTGCTTTGTTTTTTTTTTTAATTAAGAGTGTACCTCCTTCGCAGTTTGCGATATTTTGTGGATACAACAGAATGATAAATGATACTTAATTTAAGTAGGTAATGTATTTTTGAAGTAATTAATCATATATTAATTTATGTAATTCAGTTTTGCTTCAGAGGCAGACATAATGTATTTACAATTATTTGTAATCGGACAATAAGTAATTTTAATTACTTTCATTAGAAACACTTATTGTGATTAATGTCGCGTAAATTACATATATCTAAATGTTTGAAAAAAAATTTCTTTATATAAAAATGTTCTTTAATAATAAAAGCAACTGTTAATTGGAAGGTGTACGTATAAGTAACAGTATAAAGACTAGTAACACAACGTAAATTAATTGCCTTGTATAAAAACTTAACATAGTGCTATGAGTAACACCGTTACACCTACATACAATAGGTTATTTTTGATAACCACTTTTGTCCGGCTCAATCTGGTTTCGTTAGCACGTCTGAAAAGTAGAGAAATGAAAGTATATACGCCATGACAGGTAATCACTGACAAAGTAGGTATTGTGCCAAGAAGCAATGACCTCGGCTTTAGCTTATATTTGTACGTATGTGCAAAATTACGTTCTACGTACAAACAGCTCATAATATACTCCAATCTGTCTTCCATCATGTCATTTTGAACTTTATTTCAAAATAATTAAGTCTGTTAATAAATTAAAAGATTAGTGTAGGTTGACCTGCTGTCCTGTAGGTTTACATTTGTCTAATAGTGACGCGACATACGCAACGATTAAAAGTTACTAGTTACCTATTGTTGTAGTACAAAGTTAATACTGCAGCGCTGTTATTTACCGATAAAAAATGTTCGCTTTCGTGGCTATTTTATTAGAGAAACAACTACAAATAAAGTTAGCGTTGTTCATTTAATAATTTGTAGTAAAATATAAGTAGCTAATGATTATGCAGAATAGTTAGTTCAATTAAGGTTAATAATTAAAAACCTTACATTAATTTTTGAAGGTAGCGTAATAGACCAATCAATGCATCTGAAATAAACCTACCCACACATTTGCAAAAATATGGTCACACATTTACGCGTGCACGTGTTTTTAGTAATAAAATTAAGACAAATATTACGCTTTTTTTAAAAACCAAAAGTAAGGCTATTTGAACAGCTGTATAAATAACTGGTTTCGATTAAAACGCGACATTAGATGACATTTTAATTATTACGCGCGCTGACGTCTTTATCCAACGTGGTATTGTTAAGCAAATGCAAATACGATGCGATATTGCAGAATATTAATGCACGTACTTTTTACACTTATTAAAGTACTTACTCAAAAAAATTTCTATGCACTGGTACAAATATTGTATAATGATTTAGATTTACTATGTTCTCCTCGTGTAGAAGTTATGTAAAAATAAATAGGTTTATAGTATTAATGTCAAGGAGCAGGCAGCTGCAAGTAAGCTCGTAAACGTGCATATTTATGCGGCGGCCGCGGCACTGCAGACAGATGTGGCGGCGCGCGCGCAGGCCGGGCCCACTCTCAGACACACGTTGTCAACCGGTTGTCTGCACTTACACTCCGAATGTCAAGTTAACGTCAATGAAGTTCTATCCTATCAACAATACAAGTTCCCGCCTTTTGTAAAACACTGTCCCGAATATTGACAAAATGATTTAACTAACGCAGATAAGAATTTAGTACAGATAACGTTGTGAACACAACGTTTTTGACGTATCCGTATATTTACATTTATACGCGTGTAAAATATCGCAACGTTTGTTGATACTTTTTTTTAAACATATCACAAAAATTATACAAAGGCTGCCAGCTGTTCCTAAACTAATTTCCGATTTATTATGAGAACACATAAATCAAAAAATATTGTAGTAATCTACTACAAAATGTATGAACATCCATATGTGGCGTTAGAAAAGCTCTAGTATATATTAGGTACACTACAATCACGAAAACATCGCGCTACAGTTTACAAGATAATTGACAACGTGTAGTGTAGTTGACACTTACCTCTGTGTATCAGCCAGCGCCGGCTGCCGAGCAACGGGTTATAGGTTATAGCGGAATAACTGAAGCACTGGGCCACGTGCTTTATATTTAGCGAGCGGAACGCGACCGACCGACTCGCGAGTTAAAATCAGAATGAACCGAAGAACGATGCCAGACCAAACGTACGCATGGCGCACCGCACAGGCAAGTGAGACCGATTGTTGCGTCATAGCGCACCGGGGAACGTCGGGTCTTCTTGCTCGAATAATGTCAAGCCATGGCGCCCACGGGCCAGGCGTGCCAACCCGACCGAGTGCCGGCGCCCCGGGTTGTCGCGTGGCGCCCTCTAACACCATCATCTCCTAATTCGCACGCGTATTCAACATTAACGTAGAAATGTTGTAGTATCAATGTTTACAGTTACTGCGTGACGTATTGCTAAAAGAAGGTGCTGTAGTATACCCACGTCAAATTGTTGTTAGTTTAAACGTCAATGGTTCAACTATAGCACAGTTTTTATTAGAGAACGTTTTGTTTGTTGACGCCTCGTTGTTATAGGAACCATTCAGTTTTGGCTTATGATTCACCGGCGCTAATTTCGCTGGCACATTTTTAACTTCGGAACTAAAAAACCCGCAGCTCTATTTAAAGGTCCGTTATTATTAAAATGACTGACTGCGCACGGATAGCTTACATGAAGTCTATCACTTGGTTAAATTAGGTCTATATTTCTTAAAAATAAATTAAAAAAAGTCAGTACTTACAAATATTACTACAAAAAATAAAATGTTCCGTATTTATTAATCGTAATATGTTTTATTTAAAAAGTCCGCATTAGAATGTACGCGTAAGTTTACAACGTACACTATCGGCATTGTTTTAGTGCAATGTAAAATAAATCTAAATGCACGAACTGCCTTGAATGCCGAGAAAGGGGCCTTGAAATCTGCGAGTAGTGTTGCATCAGCCTGAATGGGACTGTGTGAGGTATTAGCGACAATCCTCCTTGTTTTAAAACGGGAACGATGAGGGTCATCATCTCACGAATATGAAAGATAATAAGGTTATTTGCTAAAGTAGGAAACATGATTGTTTGATTAATGTAATATTTTAACACGTATGTACCTTATTAATACTGTAAGGCTTCATTACCACTATTGATTGTTGTATTTTTTAATTTTACCTTTTATAAGCTATAGGTAGGCAGTTAGCAGCAAGCTTACAAAGTTCAATTTATTTAACAAAAAATCCAAGTAGGTACTTACTAAAGTTTTCAGAATAAGTTTTAAATATATTTTTAATCATATAAATACAATTTTAGAGCAATCGGTTACTTGAAAAATGTTATAATTTTAAAAATGTCCTTTTTTTATTAATAAATCTTCATACGCGTTTTTTATACTTTCAAAAAGTATTTCTATCTAACAATGTAATACCTGAATGACGGAACTTTACTTCACGTTTAAGCTTTACTTAAGTATTATTTTATATTTTTTTTAACCCTAACTTAATTTGCCTTTTTGGCCCCGAATTGATATTTCATCGAAATCGTTGAAGCTGTTTTCGAAACCCTGTAAGTGTCAATACGAATAGTATTGTTACTATTTAATTAAGAACGAAACCAAATATATAGGTATAGACATTTTCACACTACTAAAATAAATGAAAATCGTATTTTAATCTATGCATCACTTCACTTCTCCCCAAGCTACTGTAACAAATTGACGTTATCTTAGAAATTTGCTGAATCTAGTTACATTGATTATAACAGAACTATTAAAGTAGGTAAGTACTAGATCCATGTACGTATTAAATTGTTAATAGTTTTATTATTTTCAGTACGTGTATAGCGTTTGTTGCTGGATGGAGTGGATAACCAATAACGGCCATTTTTGTGCCACATTTGTGGGTACCGTTACCTTAGCCTGGAGCAGGACAAGGAACGGGTGTTTAAGTCAGTAAAGACTGACGCTCTCTCTCGCCTCATATTGGCCAAGAGAAGTCATTTGATTGAAAAAAAAGTGCATCAGGTGTTGGAATAACAAAAAACGAATCTACTTATATTTCTCATGCCACTATTATAAGAGCCTTAAGTGGCCAGCTAACCCTCACGGAGATGTTTGCATCTTGCCCTTATTCTGTTCTGCTAACGCCTTCAGGCAACACACACCTCCTAAAATAAAACAATAAATTCCACCTCTGCTATTTGATAAATAAACTTAGTTTTATTTCATCAACCCAAACTTAACATCAGGAAAACAATTCTATTTATAGTGCATACAACGGTAGACCACAACTATTTGGTACAACATCACATAGTGATCGATAAGAAAAGTAGACTTATAATTTAATCATAGATAATGTTTTAAAATGGCAAACTTGGTTTGAGAAAGCGTAGTGAATAGTCGTTTGCTGTCAAATTTTATTCCGAATTTGAGGTAACCTATCACACAATTTACCTCTACGGGACGGGCTGGGAAGCGATCAGCGCTGTCCAACACAAGATAAACTACAAGCGCCTTGCCGGCTTTTTTAGAAGGAGTAGGAAGCCTTTACTCAGCAGTAGAATGTTTATAGTCTGATAATAAAACTTATTTCAACTGCGAGTGTTGCACATTTTGTTTATTAGCGTAGTCAAATTTCATCGTATGCTCAAGGATCAATGGCCAAAAAGGTTCATCATTGTAACTAGAAACTACATAGATAAGCTGTGTAATAATAGAATTAAATGCATTGTTGGTCAATTGGTCGCAAACCAAACTCGCAAATGATACTGTCGGGCAAGAGATCTTGTTTCAAATTTCCAGAATAGTGACATCCTCTTACTGACTAAACCACCGCGTTCCTCCTCCTGCCGCAGTGCATAATACCATTCTCTTCATGCTGCTGTAATATTGGGTCTTTGCTTCTGCTCCTTTACTTCAATATTCTCCAAACTTAGCGCGAGTGAGACTGTAGTTAAAAAGGTGGCTCTACAGAAAACTGTGCAGATGGTCTCTTTCAAAAATGTAGTCCCATAATTCGCTCATTCCACATCGAATGGACGGTGACCAGTAAATCTTCGCTGCACTCACCATACGGTTTCCAGCTTTATGTAAAAATGTTGTAATTAAATGTGTGTGTAATAGTGCCTTACTTCAAGTTTAGTAAAACGTTATCTTTGATGCGGAGACTATGACAAATTACCTATTTCATACATAATATGCTTGACGCAAGTTTCAAGGATTACACATATGACGTTCTGTATTGTTTTAGAATTTGAGAAAATTAAATGGTTTTACGTAGGTAGGTATGTAATATTACATAATGTGCCCTGAGGTGCGTGGATGTAGATACCTTGTACAATACTTATACCTACATAGTTGAAATTTTTATGTAAGTAAGCTTGTGAAGTCTCCACTTATTAAAATGAAAAGGTTCACATCAATAAATATTTTAGGCGTTTCTCACTCCTTAAGAAAAACATACATTTTATTTTTTAAAGAAAACCTTTCGCGCTTTTCTTGGGACTTTTCTTGTGTCGTATGTGCGTTTAAAAACACAACTTCATATACAAATCACATCCAGACCCGGAACAACAATTTGTGGATTGAACGAAGGATTATCTCGTGCGTGTTTCGAAACAAAAACAAATCGCGCGACATCTTGCACGGCAGCCAGTATGCCAAAAACCGTACAACAGTAGGTACAGTCTTAGCCAATCTACAGAGATAAACAGGAATAAAACAAGGTTTCAAGTTTTCATTGTTTTTCAAAAAACGACCTTTATACCACATTTGTAATGGGACTTATAAAGATGTCTTGTAATTCGTTTATGGTTTATGACTTTATGGCGTATTACTGGCATGATGCAACAGGGAGTGGTGTTTGCAATTGTAGCGTGTGGCCACGACTTGAACCGATGGTTGGACATTAACATTCCAGTACACAAATGTACCTCATAGATACGTTGTGACATCGTGTATTGAATTCCCAAATGAGGAAAACATATGTTTCGCAGGCCCCAAATTTAATGGTTGGGTATACAGGAAGCTTATAAGACTAATAATAACAGCCACCAATTCCTAAATTTGACAAAATATTTTTGCGGTACAAGAGTCCTTGAAAAGAGTACATTTAGGGTTATAGGTGACTCAGAAATAATCAAAATTATCTCGTTGGAGTTAAGGTGTGGGAGAGCCGTAAGTCGGCACACATTGGCCGGTTCGACCGCAGTAATCAACGGCATGGTAAGGCGAGAGGGAGTGTCGGACTCTTACTGATTAAAAACCCTCCGTTCCTTCTCTTGCTCTAGGGCGAGGCCGCGGTGTCACATTGCGCTTGCCCGACAACCCTGAATGAGGGTGGAGTTGCAATGTTTCTTTCTTCCCCAGCCCCAATCCCGAAAGCACGTAATCGTTAAATCCATTGCCCTCAAAAAGCCAGAAACACACTTGTTAACTTACTCCTTTGTTGTTAAGAGTCCTTTGGTCCAAGGGAGAAGTCGATAGCTTACCATCAGATACCAGGAGAATGTTTTACTGGCTTGTCGGCTTAAAGAAAATCCTCATGCCCCGTATACATAAATCTTGAATATGATAGTCAGGTGATCCCTCTCCGTAAAATATTGTCATTCTGCCAAAACCGGTGAATACAGCGACAATCCCAACCTAGTTGGAAAAATGCCAAGTGAGAGAGTGCTGACACTCAGTACTGAGAAGTTCCTTAAAATAGTTATAAATAGTAGTAGAAACAATTGCACGTGTATTTTTCGAAAAAATAAATGTATTAATTCAGCACTGCCTGTATTTTGAGCAAATAATAAAAATAGGATCACTGATGATGCCAGTTACAACAGCGTCTTCAGAAGGACTCCTAAAAACCTCTTTGCAAAACTATTGGTGATTGGGGAAAACGTAGCATTTAAGTAATGGTATATTCTAGCGGTAGCCAAAGATCAGGCTTTCCAGGTTGCCGTTAGGAAAGCCTATGGTCCAGTGTCCAATAGAAATGGCCACGATGGTGATGACTATGACGAAACATTTATGATTCCAATGTCCTTCATTATTGTCTTTATTGTCCTTTGTTTTATCAAAACACTTTTTGTTAGAGTTTTGATTACTTCTTCTTTCTGAGCTTAGTAAAAGTAGTTTA